CAAACATGTTCAGTCCATGTAGCCTGAACCACACCTCACGAATCCTTCTCTTTTGTAGGTAAATTTGAGCCTCCGCTCTTCCACCCGAATGTGTATCCGTCAGGAACAGTGTGTCTTTCCATCCTGGAGGAGGATAAAGACTGGAGACCTGCCATCACCATTAAACAGGTCACCTAAAACTATATTCCACTCTGCTCAACGGTTGATCCATTGCTTTGCTTTCTGAAGTACACTATTCTAAAAACTCTTTTGTTCCTCCTTCAGATCCTCTTAGGGATTCAGGAGCTCCTAAATGAACCGAACATACAGGATCCAGCTCAGGCAGAGGCGTACACCATATACTGGTATGTTGCACACATGCAGAGCTCCAGTACATACTGAAGGGTGTCATTGTTCGTCTACACGTGCTCTATGTTAGGCTTCCATAAAACTGGACCATTTGACCATTTCCACCACTTTAATGAATATAAAAAAAATGTCATGCTTGTTAAATCATAATTAATACAACATGAAAAGTAGTCATAATTATAAGATTTTTTTTGTCAATTGGCAGAATAGCTTGTTTTCACGTGACGTCACGCCACTGCGTTGCCATGGCGCGAAATGCAGATGGACGGCAGGAAGTGATTTTCTATATTTAGGAAGCACTATAACACACTCAAAATGCCTATGTTTTGCGTCGTTTATGGTTGCTCAAATCGATCAAACCACGAGGAGTTTTTATCGTGTGCCCAAAGTTGTTCATAAGGGGGGAAAATACAAGAAATTGACAGAAAAACATCGGGAAAAATGCATTGCAAACCTACGTCTGAGGTCGGGAGGAGCCGAATGGGAAAATGCCTGTGTGTGTGTGTGTGTGCAGTGATCACTTCATCAAATGTGAGTTAATACATTATTTATGTGGCTTATAATTACATTATTCAGGTGTTTAAATACACTCATGTGGCTGTTTGTGTAACGTACCAGTTTCCGAACTTTGTAAAGTCAAAGTATGTCTGTAAGACGAGTTAGTTGCTCGATGGCAGGCAAATCTCTCAATTCAGTTGAAAATCGGTCCTCTTCATAACGTAAGGATCACGTCCAACATATGTTTCGATTTTCTGTTTATATATTTCTCTTGTAATAGCATCTAAAGTAGTACATTACGGATTTTCCTCCATCTCGTCCATTGCGCTCTTCACTCCTTGCCCTCCATCTGCATTCCGCGCGTCAACACAATCACGTGACTGCAAACCACCTATTGGCAATTGACAAAAAATTGGCTGCCGATCATGATCGGCTGATATTGGCTAAAAATAGCTTGATCGGCAAACCCCAAAAGCGCCGATCAAAAAAGCCAATCACATGATGTAAATTACGCGGCTCACGGGCTTGCAGTAGCAGAGCGGAGCTTGCATGAAGTGCCGTGCACACCGCCAGGCAAAATGGGGTCTTGTGCACCCAACACGCACGACTGGCCACACCGCAATGACGTCATTTTTGCCGTGTGCACCTTCACGCTCTTGCGGACACGTCGAGTATAAACAAGGCTTGAGTTCTCCTTCACCCGAACGAATTGAGTCTCCACAACGGATTAAAGCGCGCGACCGAGTGAAGGCTGTGTGCGAGCCACATGAGAACACGGTATCCGTGCCACTGATCTCAGCGGTAACGAGCACTTTAATCACTTGATTAATAAAAAAAGCATTTCAGTGCTAGATCGCCTTTTATTTAACAAATTAACAAAATGAATGCTCTGCTAGTTAAAGGTAGAATATGCAGGATTTTTGCAGTAAAATATCCAAAAACCAACCACTAGGCCAATGTTATATATTTTGTTTAGTTGATTACTTACAATATCCCAAATGTTTCCAACTATTTGTAAATCGTGAGAAAATTGCGATTTTAACCAAGGAAACGGGGCATGCGAGCAGGGGCGAGGAGTCGCCAGTCAAAGACGTCATATCCGTGTTACCCCCGGTTTCCACCAGGTTTGACCTCGTACTGCAATAGTAACCATGGCGACAGACATGGACAACTGGGTCGGTTATGCCCGTTACGCGTGCTCAACAGCGTGAGCGTCCCTAGCAGGGTTTTGTTCAAACATTATGGACCACGGCAAGCAGACTTTGAGACAAAAAGAACGAAGATCAACATCTTTCGAGATGCCGAGAGCTCCACGTCCGCGACTAACGTCCGCGAGTGTTGCATGTTACTTGAGCAAACAGGTGAGCAAATCAATAAAACTAATCCATGTTATATAGTTTAACATGATGAATAGTTAGAATAGGATCTGTATGTTATTCTCTGTTAATCTAGCTAGTCTCATACAGCCAACACACAACCTAACTAACAACATTCAACACACACAAATGCCATTTAGTGTGATAGTGAAACTGTTAGAGCAAGTGAAGAATAAATATCCTTATTCCTTTATATCCGCGGGACTCGCGTTGTGTGTAGCAATCGCGCCCTGCTTCATCATGTTAAAAACATCAATGTATTCACTCATCCAATATACGTCATTAATATACGCCTTGGTTATTGTAAGAGGTTAGCGTGTCAGTGTTCTTGTCAGTGTTTTGGGAGGCTACAATTTCCAAGTATGCCTAAGTGTAACTTGATCCCATCCCATGAAGCTGATTTAATGTGTGGTGGTCTGCCTGACCCCTCTTTGATTTGGAATGGTTTTATGTTACTCAGCCTAATGTGAGAAAGATAGCCTACAGTAGCCTTAATTTATCTCATTCTAAATACAATAAAATACACATCTGGTGGTTTTTCAAGATCTTGACTGTAGGCTATTTCTACCGTGTTTTTTTTTTTACTTCCCAATACAGTTAATTCATAGTTAGTTTCATTTCTACAAATGGTACAAACTCTGCTAGATTATAGATAAAAGATTCCCATTGCCCTGCCATTCAGTGATCGGCCCTAAAAATCCTGATCGGAGCATCTCTATTTTTTGTCTAATTTTCAACGTTTCATCTCAATTCAAAATTATTACATACTTTTAACACATAATTGATAGTTTACTTTTACTTAACTTTAAATTTTATTTAAAAATCATTTCCACTGCATAAGTGAATATGAAAAATATCGTTGTTTATTGAATATCATGTTTGGTAAACCATGTTTGGAAGAATATTAGCACTTTATATTTATAAAGCATTATTATTTTGTTACACACCTGTAAATCAGAGATTTAGTTAGCTTACCTCTTTTCTATATTGGCTATGTTTATATATATATATATATATATATTTATTTATACACGTCTATAAGTAACAACGTGGTCCTGTGAGGAACATCATTTCGTTCCCATGTAAGTCTCTAGATATAGCAGGATGACAATAAACTCGCTAGGTTGTGGAAGAGCGAGTGTGAGATATTTCTTGTATTGATTCCTCTGTGTTTTTGTCTACAGTCAGAATAGAGTGGAGTACGAGAAGAGAGTTCGTGCACAGGCCAAAAAATTCTCCCCGTCGTAAGCGAGACCGAGGCGAATGGAAAGAGGGATTATGTGAATACTCGTGCTATCCTCTCACCGGGACTAAAAGGGCTTAAAATATGATGTCTGTGCCATCAACCCCAAACCCTTCCCCTGCACCACAAAATTTACACTCTTCTTCCACCCTTTTAATTTCATTTGCTCTCCGTTTCCCTTAGAACGCAGTCGCCAATTCAGTATCCACAGGTTTTGTTGCGTTTCAAACCAGCTTGGATCAGAATGGACTGTTGGGATTTTAGCTCCTGGTGTCTGTCTGTGTGCTTACTTGCACTCGCCATTTTATTATGTTCGTGAAGCTTTGTTTCCTCTTGAAAAACATGCGAGTGTGTGTGTGTTGCTCTGGTTTAGGTTGGTTTATAGCGTCTTATATGTGGGGAAAGTGCCTCATGGTGACGTTTCCCCTCAGAATGCTGATCTAGGACCAGTTTCCTCTCCATTGGGCTCGTTTGTACTTGACCAGCCACGTGGTCTTAGATCTGTCTTGGATTGTGTAATGCTGATTCGTTAAATAATGTCCAGAGTTATTGCTCCTGTGAGCAGCAGAACCAGAGTCCAATTCTCTTAAACATGCTGTACATGGTTTCTTGTTTGTTTGATGGGAACATGTGTCCTGTGTTCACACTGATTGTGTCTTGTTTGTTTAATAAAGCTCTTTCTACATAATGCGTCTTGTGTTCAAAAACAGCTCGATGGAGCAGAATGCAGAGGTGTGTAAACGTGGCCTTGATGCTCATGGCTACTAAAAACAGAAAATGGAGAGACGTGACAGACTGACTTAAAATATCACAGAGGTTTCATACACATTGCATTTTTATTTATATTGCAAAACAGAACGCTAAAGCAGGAAACTGACTGAATTTTAGAATAGCTTTAATATAAACATATATATTCAAAATCAAGTACAGAATAAAAAATAGTATAAATGGATTATTAGCAAAAATCTTTAAAAGGCATTTATTTGCATGTAAATTGTGGCGTTGCTTAGAAATATATCAGGATTTGCTCATTGAAAGCTATTAGCAGATTATACATGACTGAATACATTTTCATTTATAAAAAATGATTTCTAGCTACTAATTACATCAGCGTAATTGGATTAATGTACTAATTACTCTCTAAAAAGTATTGGATTGCTTATTACTAATTATTTTTTAAATCCCAAATCAACCTAGACCCGTCGAAAAACACAAGACACAAAACTGCATTTATGCTTCGTTTAAATAAGCGAATGTACAATTGCATAAATTATCCTTTAACTGACCAAAGTGTGTCAAGGGAGACGTTTACATTAAAAACATACATTTTAAGATTAAAAAAGGTACGTTTATTAAGTTTTTGATCAAATATACAATATTGTGAAATATTATTACAATTTAATATAATTTAGTATTTTAGTAGATTTCAAAATACAATTCATTCTTGTGAATAAAGCAGAATTTTTGAATGATTTTTTTTTCAGAACTCTTTGATGAATAGAAAGCTCAAAAAGATTAAATATAATTATTTTGTAACATTATACATTTATATACTGTCACTTTTAATCAATTTAAGGCATCCTTACTGAAAAAAAAAAAATCATCGTATTGACCCCAAACTACTGACCGGTAATGTTATATGGTATAAGTGTGTGAGGTGGAGAGTGTGCAGTAGTCCTCGCTGCATGTGATGCTTTCTCGCTCTGTTACAACAAAATCACGAATCCAACAGCCCGAGTCCACATCTGAGCCCACGGGAGAATGGGGCGTGAGGTCACCCTGGTCACTGGTTCCCATCTCATAAACTAAGCTGGTCTGTCGAGGAGGCGTGTCCATGCTCTCACATAGAACGTCAATCTGGAGAAACTCCTCCCCCTGCGTTACGTCTCTCGCCTTATAGGATAGCATTGAACAGATCTGAAAATACACACACAGACCATTAACAGTGATGTATTCGGACAATGGTCAGGACCAACTGTTTCTACCGTTTTGATATTGATGTTGCTATTTACTCATTGTAAGCTGCACTGCAAGTTGTACGTAATGCTTTAAAAACAGATATTGATGAGGAGTATTAACACATATACTTGACTTCCTGTATAACAGGATGAAATGAGCGATGTGTTAAAGAAATTCATGAACTTAATGTTTGCAACTAATTAGAGGTTAACGATAGGGTGTGAAGATAAGGTTTTCAAACCACAAGCGGAGCTAAGATTGATGATGATGGTGGTAAAGAAAAGTCTTAGACAAACAAGGTTAAACGACATATGTGACCCTGGATCACGAAACTAGTCACAAGTTGCACTGGTATATTTGTGTATACATTATAGAATGGGTCAAAATGATCTATTTTTGTTTTATGCCAAAAATCATTAGGATATTAAGTAAAGATCATGTTCCATGAAGATATTTTTTAAATACCCTACCATCAATATATGAAACATTTATTTTATTTTTCAATCGTGAACATAAAGGAACATCTTTAATGGAGATTTTTGATTTTTTTTTGCACCCTCAGATTCCAGATTATCATATCCTAACAAACCATTGAACAATGGAAATCTTATTTTTTTCAGATGATGTATAAATCTCAATTTGAAAAAAATTGACCCATGTGACTGGTTTTGTGGTCCATGGTCACATATAACTACAAACTGAACCTCAAAAAAGAACAACTACAAGGGAATCTGTAAAAAAAAAAGAAAATTTGTAATCACAACATTTTTTCTATAGATAATTTATGTTGTTCAGTTTCTGGTGATTAAATCAATCTCCTTCATTGTATCAACTCATTTTTTCCATTTTAATGAACTTAAAATGTTAAGGCAACCAGGTTACTTATTTTTAAGTTAAACCAACAATATTTTTTTTTTTTACAGTGTACATCATTCAACTTCAACCTGTGAGTCCTTAATGCTATGGGGTAGATTTGACTTTCCTTACCCTACCTGAATAATCATAGGGCTATGAATGTGTAAGATGAAATGTCACACACCAAGTAACACGACCAATGCAAATCTTCAGATCTTAATTTTAACACCAGAAACCATCAAGTATATCTATCAAGATCAGCTGAGAATCATGGGAGGAGCCCAAACAGTGTAAGAATGAAGACCTTTGATTAGGCTACATGTAAAAGGTTTAGTTGTGCTGAAACAAACAGAATACCACATTTATCCGAGACTTGAATGTAGAATTTAGATGATTTGAGAAACATAGCAAGTGATTGATTAATTATTTATTTGCAGAGTAGTGTCTTTCTCCAACAGTATTTTGAGCATTGACCACAATCACAAGGAGAATTGACACATAAATCTAGCTAATTCTGTGGTGTTCAATTCCCCAAACGGAGTTGCAAAGTCAGAAACGTGTTTGATATCTTATATCTGATTTTACACCGGAAAACCATATTTGATATCGTTCTCATATCTGATTTGGAAAAAAGCTTCCTTTATGTTATAGTATTTAGGAATATTTCGAAATAGCTTTTAGTATGTTTTCATTTGAAAATTGTTTCTACATAGGCAACATTTATAATTTCGAGTTGACTTTTCTTATATTTATATTTTATTTTTTACAACAGCATCATTTAAAATAAAGAGAACGATTTTTAATAGTTTTAGTTAACAATAACAACGTTGGTCAAGACAAAGATGTCTTGGAATGCAGATCTAATGTATCATCCACGAAGAAAAAAAAACATTATTTTTCTGTGTAGCCTAGAATTTAATTACAGTCAAGCATCAATATTATGGCTTATATTTAGCGTTAGATATGCTTTTTAAAAACCTTGAGCATAACTTGTGCAACAGACATTAATTCCTAAATTCAACAGTTCATTTATACAAGTTCATTTAATTGTAACTTACTGTATTCAACATTTAAACAATGAGTGAATACATAATTAACCCTTCTTTCAAAACGTGTTCATGTCTTACCCTAATTCACTATGGTAAGTTTATATTTTGCGTACATACGTCACTCGCCAGTGCGTGTCTCGTCATATCCACAATAGCGAAGTTCCAACGGCTGGCCATTTTGATGACATGTCTGGCGTTTGAGTGAAAGAGGTTAGTTTTCTATGGTTTTCACGAGCGAGAAAGGTTGACATTGAGTAGCTAAATCTCAAACCTCCGGGGAATCACGGTTTAAACAAACACTGCTGGCAAAAAGCGAATGATACAGAGCTCGTAAGAATACATATCGAGGGAATGCATTGCCGTCACTTTCCCGCCAGAACAACCCCCCTCAGCCTGACTGAGTGGCAAAAGATCTGCTGCCTGACTGTATTTAATAGGGGAAACTGCGAAAATGCGACTAAAACAAACAATTTTATCAATTTAAACAAAATGTTGCACTCAATATAATGTTCCTTACAAGTTACTAAAGATCCAGTGATCCATGGATATTGACATGCAGCCAGGAATCGTGTTGCCTGACATGTAACGTTATGTTTGCCTGATTTCGACACCGGGGAAAATAAAAGCAATATAGACCTAAACATAAAGCAAATTTGCCTGTGAATGCTTTACATAAATACAATATAGGTAGGTCTAAATCCGGGTGATCACTTATTTCAGTGTTATATATAGATATATGTCATCATATCGTCCAGCCCTAAAACTTTATAGTTTTTTTTTTTTTTTTTGGTCAGTGTTTATTAAAAAACATCCAATAATGCAGAATATGCAATGATAAATATTTAATTGAGTTGATAATATATATATATATATATATATATATATATATATATATATATATATATATAAAAAACAATACAGAATATATGGGTATGGTTTTACACCTAAATTCAGCATATTGACACAAAATGATAACTGCAGATCCACCTTTCGCTGACTGGAGTCTAGTTGTTTCTGTGAATTGCAGCGATCCATTTGCTCCTCTTTCTATAGCAGTCTGTAAAAATATACCTCCGATTTTTTGTCAAATCTAGTTGTACAGTCTATCGCAAAGCTCTTTCCGAATTTATGTGTTGTGTTTGTTTTTCGCGGCATTCATGCTGAAAACATATACAGCCGCTCAGTTTTTGCCACTCACTGTGAGTAACTGCAGGCACTCCGTCACACGCATACCCTATTGGTTTGGCTTTTTCATGTTGGCATCTACTGGTAAAACTATGTAAAGTGTTTTGATGTACATATGGTGGGAGTTACCTTAGCATCTACATCCCAGTCTCTGAAAAAGGGGGCGGGTGATGGTATATAATCACCCTTTCTCCATCTACAACACAAACGTCCATCGTTTATGTAGGCTACATGACTAAAGATGGAAGAAATCAAAGAACTTCAGGATGTTTCTTACCTTGAATATGGGATACAGGACAGAAGGACCACCAGAAAAGGCAAAGGAAGAAAATACCAGGCAATATGGGAAGATCTGTCAGCTTTACTGTTTCTCCTTTGCATTTGTTTGCGTGTTATCCAATCGGACTCACTGAGAATGTCCCCTGACCTCCAGTGTATCGCAGGGGCCCACGGACTCCACACGCCTTTATAATACACTTGATCCGGCCGAGATCTCACACGCACTGTGTAATTTGTGTGAGGCTCAAATCTAGACCCGTCCACATACACCTTCAGTTCAACAGCTTCTACCTCATACAGCTGAAACACATGCATTGTCATTTGTCACAAAGAATTTATAAGCATTCTCAGACAGAAAATTTACAAGTTCATTGACAAATGAGTGTCATTTTCAACATTACACTGGGTGATCATGTTTCTGCATTTCTTGCTAGACACTTGTGAAAAAGAGCTGTTATGAGTAGAAAAACACATTAATTTTAAACCAAGTTGGTATAAAGGGCACTAGACTTCACGCGTTAAACAACACCATGAAATGCTTTTCATAACTCGTTTCACTTCTGTAATGCGACGCAAATAAAGAAATGTTTGGCCTTTTCTTCTTGGGTCTTGCCAGTTGAAAGTCCCTATGCGTTTTGGATGAATGAAAAAAACATCCTCAATTCTCTATTTCACTACATTTTAAAACATGAAAATTACAGGTTTAAACATCTAATTTGTCAAAAGGTAATTTATTTCCATTTTTATGTTGGAATTATTAAACTTATAACTTTATACTTCTCCCTTCTATAGTCCTCCATGCTTGGATGAGGTGTTGAATGATGTATACACTTTTATATAAATAGATAGATGCACTTTTATGATGAATAGATGCACTTATATTTATGCACTTAAAAGCCAGGACATTTTTTAAATATAACTCCAACTATTGTCTGAAAGAATGTCATATTCATGTAGGATGAGGGTAAGTAAATCATGGGCTAATTATCATTTTTGGGTAATCTATCCCTTTTAAAAAATATATAAATAAAACCGACGTTTTAATTCTTTAGTTTAGAATAACATGAACTGGTTGTGAATTGTGCACTCTAAGACGTGATTTCCTATTAAAATAGATCACCCAAAATTGAAAAAGGAATACGGCTATAAAGAATGAAAATAATATGGGGTATCACCATAGGGGTATCACACACACCTTGTGGTCGCTGTGCACGCTGAGCTGGTACTGGAGGTAGCGAATGAGCAAGTCGTAGGCTGGATCATATCCGCTCTCCCACTGGAAAACTGCCCTGTCCTTCTCCCACCGTAGAGACAGGTTAGACGGAGGGACCGGGCGAACTACAACACACACACACATACACCAATCACGAACTGTGCAGTTACTGTGGGCTCGCGTGAAAGACATTGCTCTTACTTTTTTTGTAAGGCACGAAGTCACTATCTAGTAAGATGGAGAAGTTGTTTCCATGGTAACCGGAACGGAGGGAGATTTCGTAGCTGTCCATGTCGGTGAAATACATATTCGGTGATAAATCCAACTCACACAGTAATGCCTGTTGTCTCCTCCTCAGTGTGCAGTTATGTTCTCTGCACAAAAACAGATTCTTTATCATTACTTCAAACTAGCATGCACTCGAGTGTTGGATTGTATGGGATATTTGTGATTTGGTTGATTGGCTGATTGATTGGCTGATTGATTAGTTGATGGGCTGAGTGATTGATTGGCTGATTGATTAGTTGATTGGCTGAGTGATTGATCAGCTTATTGATTGATTGTCTGATTGATTGGCTAATTGATTGTCTGATTGATTGATTGGTTGATTGAATGATTAGCTGATTGATTGATTGGTTGATTGATTGTCTGATTGATTGGCTAATTGATTGTCTGATTGATTGATTGGTTGATTGAATGATTAGCTGATTGATTGATTGATTGTTGATTGATTGTCTGATTGATTGGCTAATTGATTGTCTGATTGATTGATTGGTTGATTGAATGATTAGCTGATTGATTGATTTATTGATTGATTGATTGATTGATTGGTTGATTGATTGATTGATTGATTGATTGATTGATATGTGATTGTGATTCAGTGCTGTATTCTCACTCTTCATCTGCTCTGAAATGCAGCCAGTAGGACGATTCGTTGCCCAGAGACTCATCCGAGATGTTCAGAGAGCAGGTGATGATGGATAAATAATTACTGAGACACTCCAGACTATATCGATCACCTGAACACAGTTTTATAGACGACATATAATACATCACAATAAACACATAGGATATATCCTAAAATATAACAATGTGAGCAGAAATTTTTACCCAAAGTGATGAAACTTGCCAAAACACCAGACAAACAACTCAATGTGAGAATGAAAGAAGAGCGATGCATGTTGTCTTTAACCTGTAACAAACAGACCTATCAACATAAAAAGAAAAGTAAAAAATCATATGATCAATAAGTTGACTACATATGGATCTGATTAATGATGCATTGAGATAGTGGTGCATGCAGGTAAAATGAGCCAATTATGACTAAATAAACTTATTTTCTCAATGAGGATTGTGGGGCTTCCTTTACTTTACTGTTATGAACTGAAGAAGTATGGAAAATACATCAAATATTACAAAAGGATCAACAACAGATGGAAGAAATCAAAGAATTTCAGGATGTTTCTCACCTTGAGTATGGGATACAGGACAGAAGGACCAGCAGAAAAGGCAAAGGAAGAAAATACCAGGCAATATGGGAAGATCTTTCCGGAGTTTTTTCTAAAACACACAAAGTGAGATGAATCTTAGTAACTGCATCTGTCATCTGTACTGTTTCTCCTTTGCATTTGTTTGCGTGTTATCCAATCGGACTCACTGAGAATGTCCCCTGACCTCCAGTGTATCGCAGGGGCCCACGGACTCCACACGCCTTTATAATACACTTGATCCGGCCGAGATCTCACACGCACTTTGTAATTTGTGTGAGGCTCAAATCTAGACCCGTCCACACACACCTTCAGTTCAACAGCTTCTACCTCATACAGCTGAAACACATGCATTGTCATTTGTCACAAAGAATTTATAAGCATTCTCAGACAGAAAATTTACAAGTTCATTGACAAATGAGTGACATTTTTAACATTACACTGGGTGATCGTGTTTCTGCATTTCTTGCTAGACACTTGTGAAAAAG